ATTCCTGAAGTCACTCCGACAAACCTCCGGCGTAGTAAAATGACTCAAGTATGATTCTTCCAAATTCACCACCCCCCAACCGCCTCCTGCTGTGCCCCTGCCCCCGGGGAACTGGTGACTAAGAGTAACCCCCGACTGATCTGAAGGAATTAAGTTCTCCAGGGGGATTGTACTGATAACTCAGGGCCCACCAGTGAGTGGGCGGGGCGTCAGGTTTTGCTGGCAGGCCCTGGCTGCGGAGGAGATGGCAGCAGGACAATGTCTGCTGTTCCATCTTTCAGAGTTCGTGGGGGAGCCATAAGCAAGGGCACCCTGTGCTGCCTCAAAGGGTACGACAGGCAAAACGAGGGAGCAGGCCAGGAATGAAATAGTTGGTGAGGACCAACAGCCGCTCGGCTGTGGAGCGGCAGGCAGGCACGGGATCACTGCCAGCAGCGGTGGGCGGGCGGTAGGGCTGCTCCGGAGCGCGGTGCTTTTGGCCCAGGCACTGAAGAGCCGCAAGCTTCCACGGACTGCAGTGAGACGAGCAGCCCTACCTGCTCAGGGCAGAAGGGAGAGGGGTCCTGAGCACAGAACTCCGGAGGGTGCTGGGCCATGTTCTACATGCTGCTTTTGTCTTTAACCTAGTCTGTATCAGCAGGTCATGAGAATACCTAGATTGCCACTAAAAGTAACAGCCCTTAGCTTTTAGATCCATCAAAATAATTAGTTACCAAGCCATAAGGAGTGGTGTAGATATTGTAGGATAGTTGACACTGTCTGTGATTAGAAACTAAGCTTTAGTATTTCTTACTGATTTTTTGTTTAAAAAAATGCACATATGCACTAGAGTCGTGCACACAACGTGACGTTAAACTCCCAGTGTGAGGACAGAAGCCTGATGCAGGGCAAGATTTCAGTGTGATTTCTCCTTGAGATTTCTGAAATGGCTCAATAAACCTGTTGGAGATGCATTAATAGAAAACACAACTACACAGCTGATGCTATTTTTTCTTACAACGATTTCACAGGCTGTCCAACACAGACATCATTGCTGCTCCTACCAAAGGCGTGTTATGGGAAGAGGGCAGGAAGAGGTGTAGGTTTCTGTTACAGCTGATTTCCTACAGTGTTACCCTGAGATTGCAGTGTCGCAAGGGAGATGCATCATCAACCTTTGATTGAAAACTTCCACTTTAAATATTCAGAGGGTTATTTTAGAGGGTCACTTTTATTTTGGGTGACTTGAGTAGAAATTACAGTAACATTTTGGTTAAAGCTGGCCCTTGAGCGTGGAATCCGCAGGTCCCAAGCTACTTTGGGTGCATTATTCTTAAAAACTGGACCTATTCTCCAGAGTGCTAAATGCCTGCTGTTTTCAGGTACTGTTTCTTCCCTCATTTGATCTCGTGTGGCTCTCCCATACCTTAAATGATCTTCTGGGTTTGAAGGGTTTGGTTAAGTTCAATACCGTAAGAAATTCTTGGTCTGACATGTGGTCCGGTTGTAGCTCACCAGAGCCCCAAGAGGAGGGGAAGAAAGCGGCGTCTGCAGCAGCATCTGCAGCAGCATCTGCAGCATCGTCAGTCTGGGAGATTTCCCAAGGGACGCACTGACTGACATAAATTAACCAGATCTACCTAAATCTGGAGCACTGACTGCCCGTATTTGTTAAAAACTAAAAAAAAAACCACCAAACCAACAACCAACTCTGAGCTTCATCGTACCTGTTCTCTGAGGACACCAAAACTGTACATGACTGGGGGATTCAGGTATCCCTTTACCGAGGCTCCAAACTGCAGCTACTTCAAGTGCAGACGATGAGCACATCTCTCACAGTACTGAAAACACAGCTGTGTGTGTGCAACATCAGAGGCTCTTCTATCCCGAAACGGCACCAAAGACAGCGGCTGCATACAAAGTGATTTGTTACAATACTGAACACATCTACCACACTCATTGCTGTCAACTCATTTTGTATATATAGACAGCTTTTTATATGCGTTTTAATTACATAACCCTCACGAAACGTAACAAAGCTACAAGTTGTTAGTTTTAACGCAGATTAAAACTGGTGTTTGGCTGTTTGTTTTCTGCAGCAATTACTTGAATCTTGTTTCCAGTAGTTGATGAAGTCTGATGATGTTTACAGGATCACTCACTTTGGTTTTGGGGAGTTGCCCCGTCTCTCCTCCCACCCCCTGCCCCAAGAAGCAGAGAGCACACGCTCGGGAGTTGAGAGCAGATGAAGTACCGGGATCACCTTCACTGGCACCAAAATTAACGGTGATGTGCAGACTCCCTCCCGTTTACATTGCTCAGCTGACAACTCGCATCGTTAACCTCTTGCGATCGGCTTTGTTGTGAGAAACTTAAACCTTACTGAACAGCAATTTACAATCATAAAAATAACCACAGAAAGAGGCAGCAATCCTGCTGTTAAGTCTGCCCCCTCTCCCTGTCCCTTCTAGCGTGGATGAATGGAACATCCCTGGCTTGTCTCTGCAATTATTTTCCTATTTGCCAGCAAGGGCCATCAACTTTTGCACTACTCACCGTGTCCTGGCTGTTCCACTTCTACATAGTTGTTTTCAGCTGTGCCACCTAAACTTGTAATGAGCTGTACTTAAGTTTGAGGTGACGTGTACAAGATACGTGTAATAATGACACATTTATTGGGGTTTTCTTTGTATGTTACAGATAGGACTAGTCCTATGCACAAACATGTTGCCATTTATAGTTTAATACTTGAAGTAACTTTTTTAAATGGGCTTTTATAAACGAATTAAATGCAAAAATCACATTGCTCTGCCTGGAAGTTCCTTCACGTTTCACTTGTGCAATTGCCCTGTGTGTATACTTTTCCATAGATGTTACCTTAAGCCATTTATGACCATTGGAAGTGCATTCAAGATTTTGTACATCAGTGTTCAGACCTGTTCATACTTCTCTGAAGGATAATTCATGATTAAATAGAAAAGTTGTAACATTTTAGGCCTCTTTTCCAAAGTGGTAAAATATGAATGGATTTGACACTTGAATTCATCAGTGAATGCAACATCAACTTAATAAAAGTCTGTGAAAGATGAGCAAACTGCTTAGCTGTAGCCTGTGTCTGTTAGATCAGTGAGAGAAACTGCCTACCTGGGCAGCATTCTGTAACTGTTCTGCGTTTCGACACTCCAGCTGCAACAAACCTAACATCACCCTACTCTGGACACATCTTCCAGGTCACTTGGTCTTGGGAAATAAACTCTGACGTGCAGCTGACACTGCTCCTTCAGGGTGCCAGTCATAACTTAGGAACGACATTGCCACTCAAAGGGAACTCAGCTCCATTCCTCTGACACCAGAAATCATCTCTGGAAGAGAGGGCAGTAACACCCAAGCCAACACTGACACTAAATTCAGCAGTTCTTCCTGGAAAGCTTAAAAACAAATGGAACACCTTACAATCCTCCAGAGGCCCAGCCTTTGTGATTCTGGTTCACCTTCGCCCTCGCACGCCCGACGGAGCGAGCACTGTGCCACTTGTGTCGATGCACACAGACGTACCCTTCAGGAGGGAGAGTTGTGATTCTGGTTCACCTTCGCCCTCGCACGCCCGACGGAGCGAGCACTGTGCCACTTGTGTCTTGTGTGTCGATGCACACAGATGTACCCTTCACGAGGGAGAGGGACCCGTACGAGCCATCCGGTCGCTACCAGCAGATCATCCCTCTCCACTGAGCAGGCTGCCTCCTGCCTTTCCAAAGGAAATCAGGGAAGCTGTAAATCTGGTTTAAATCATCCTCATCACTGCCTCTGCTGCGTTATGCAAAACCCCTGAAACAAGGCAGGCAGATGGTGGAGAGCCACAGAAAGAACCGTCTCCTAAGAAAACACACGCTGTTCTGCAGCACTGCTTTTAATGTAAGATTCTGTATACCGCAGCAAAGCCCCATTCGCCATCTACTCCTCTTATACCGAGTGACAAAAGTACCCCAACAGGTCCGACAGCAGGTGCCGCGGTCGCGCCTAACACATGCCGAGTACACGTACGCCGTGTGATTCAAGAGGACCACTGCCTTGACACGTTTAAGTGGTTTAAGTGTTCACTGATGCTTCTGTGCTCAGGAACCCTGGCCTTCATCCGGCTTTTGAAAGCTTCCCATTTCGCACGTCGCTCCTCCGTGTTATGTTTGTACTCCTGCTCCCGTGTCAGGTAAGGTCGACTCAGCCAATACTCGTTCTCTGCTTCAATTTCCAACCTTCGGATCATCGCTTGCTTCATTGAAAGGGTAACCGGCCTCGGCCGCCTGTATTTTCCAATCCATTGTTTTCCCGGAATTCTCTTGCGGAGTAATATGGTTGTTAAAAACATTACGCCTTAAAATATAGACCAAAAAATATAAAATACTCATTAGGCTGGGAACAAGACTTAAAAGTTTAACGAGAACAATGAAAAACCTGCAGGTACTTCGTGCGCTGCCTTCTGGCTGGCTGTTGTGAAGTTCAGAACCCGACGCTCGCAACCCACCGTCAGACAGCGCAGTGACAGATACGCTGGGAACTTGCTGTAAGCCTTCAGGTAGCTAAAGCCTTCGCTCAGTTATGCGAAGGGATAACGGGTTTAAATTGAAAGTGGGGAGGTTTAGATTGGATATCAGGAAGAAGTTCTTCCCAGAGATGGTGGTGAAGCACTGGAACAGGTTGCCCAGAGAAGCTGTGGATGCCCCATCCCTGGAAGTGTTCAAGGCCAGGCTGGATGAGGCTTTGAGCAACCTGGTCTAGTGGAAGGTGTCCCTGCCCATGGCAGGGGGGGTGGAACTAGATGGTCTTTAAGGTCCCTTCCAACCCAAACCGTTCTGTGATTCCATGATTCTGTGCTTGCACTGCGATTAAAGCACGTCCTTTGTAAATTATTTAGGGAAAATCCGGTCCCAGATACTGCTGAACAAAGGGTTCACTTCACCCATTCCTTCTTCCAACAGCTAACTGCATTGTCAAAACAGGGAGTATTTCCAGGCCCATCTTCTAGATCCACACCTGGCCTTTCCTCGCTGTTAAGTTCTGAGCTACAGGCTCTCTAGAAACTTATTAGTATACAATTGCCTAGTCTGTGCTTTAACTATGGGGTTTGTATCCTGTATCAGACCCACTAGTGTCGCGTACAAAGCGCAAATAGAGTTTCTGACACAGTAACAGATGTAACAAGGAAGCAAGGAAGGCCAAGCCAGGTTTAGATGTGGCACACAAGCTCTTCACTAACCTGTTACGTGCCTAACTGCCAGGTGTCTCTCTCCACAGCGCTGTGATCAAGTAGGAAGTCAGTCAGGCGCTGGAACACGCCGTAACTGGCGCTTCTACCGAGAAAAGGCACCCCACTATACCCCCTTCCCGCCGGGGTATGCTGTTCCCTCTCTGAGCTTAGAGCTGAGGCTGTGGGCTCCGCGGGGGCACTGCTGCCTCGGCCTCCGGTTCCCGTCCGCTGCA